ACAGGGAAGCGGGGGTTTTTATGGCAGTTCACTGTTCAAGGAACAGTGCTTATGAATAGTATCTGGTTGCATTGGGCTTTAGTATATATATAATTTGCGTTTCTTTTTCTTTTGAATAACAGGAGAGTTAGTCAAATTTGGATTTGAAAAGGAGTTTACGAAGACAGAGAGCAATGCAAAAGATCACTCCGTGATGGAAAACAGAGACGATCACAAGGAAAAAGCGGATAATGTGGGCAAGCAAGCTTTGAGCGGAAACAAAAATAACGACAAATTATTAGCATCCTCAATACAAGGAAAGCTTCGGAAGGAATCTCCGTTACTAGATCAAACTTGTATATATAGAGTCCCTCATAAACTGGTCAGGCACAACGAAGAGGCTTTCGTCCCAAGTTTGGTTTCAATCGGGCAGTTTCATCATGGAGAAAAGAAGTTGCAGGCCATGGAAGAAATGAAGCTGTGGTACTTGCATGGCCTCATTGAACGAAAACCAAATCAGAACAGCAGTTTGGAGACGTTCGTGGCAACAATTAGGAGTATGGAACAATTTTGTCGTGATTGCTACGACGAAAAATTTGATAATCTGAGCAGTGATAGATTTGTAGAAATGATGGTGGTTGATGGTTGCTTTATTATTGAACTTTTCCGCAGACCCCGTTTGAGGTACTCGGACCACGATCCAATTTTTAAAACGCCATGGATGTTGTCGACAATTAGAGATGACTTGTTGCTACTTGAAAACCAACTTCCTTGGAAAGTTGCTGCCTGTTTATTTGACCTCATAAAGGAAGAAAATGAAGATCTTCAGCAATTTGCTGCGGGGTTTGCTACGTGGTTCTCTGAAAACGTATTCGGCATCTCAGTCTCAGTGCCAGTGAGAGACATATCGAGTGAAAGACATTTCCTCGACATCGCAAGAGGTTATGCCCTTGGACAACCGTCCAGGGAGGATCGTTTTTATTTTTATCACCCGATTCCTTCAGTGACAGAGCTTCTGGAAATCGGAGTGGATTTTGAACGTACTCTGAACTTCACGAAACCTGATCTGCTTGACATTACCTTCGAAAATGGGTTGATGAGAATCCCTCCACTGTGTATTGGAGAGAATGGAGAACGTTTCGTAAGAAACCTCATAGCCTATGAATTGTGTGTCCCACATCACGCAAATTATTACGCTACCTCTTATGCAAAGTTGTTCAGTTGCCTTATTAAGTCTACCAAAGATGCCGAATTTCTGATGGCGAAAGGAATTATAGAAACGCAGTTGAGCAAGGAGGACATAGCCTGTTTCTTCACTAGGGTTTGCAAGGACATTGAAATTGAAGGCGGCTTGCTATACTTCGCTGGCCTCACCTTCTCTGTGAGCATGTATTGTGAGCGTCGCTGGCTAAGGAGTTGGCTCACAATGATCAAACGAGATTATTTATACAATCCATCATCAATCTGGTCTGTTTCCAGTGGGGTCGTCGTTATTCTCATTCTTACCATCACACAGACAATTTATACTGTTCTCTCCTACTACAAGTAAATCTGCTGATGTTGCTTTCCTTTCTTTTCTTCTTTTATCTGAATTTTATTTTTCTCAGTGTCTTGATGAAGGAGTTTATTTTGTATTTCCTTATGACTTAATAACAATGGACGATGCTAATAGGAGAAAAATGGTATTTTATACCTTCTTATTGAAAAATTAGGTTGCTCTCATTATATAGTATTAGATCAACGGACGAATGTAACTCAAAAAGCTAAAAAAACATGAATGCCAAACACCGAACGCAACCAAGTAGCTAGCCTACAAAACCCTAAACACCAAGTCAGGAAGAAACCTCTGCAGTCTGTACACTCCATGCTGCAGACTCTGGATCATCGATAAAGATTGTGCTTATTCTTCGCAATGATTTGTAAGAGAAGAATGAATAAACTAAAATAATGAAAAATATGATGTGTCATCACTCTGCAGGGGTTGGCCTGGTTTCTGCAGGTTGCTCACCCTCGTGTTCAGCCGGAGTCTCTGCTTTTGATGAGTTGGGAGTGGTATTAGCGGTAACATCTTTGGCAGGTGAAACAGGTGCGATTGCAGCTGCACCACCCGCTGCAATGGGCGAATTAGTTTTTCCATTCTTGGCATCCTTTCCTTCCTTGGAATCCTTTGAATCATTTGCATCCTTGGAATCCTTTGCATCCTCTCCTCCCTTGGCATCGTTTCCTTCCTTTGCATCTTTGGCATCCTTTCCTTCCTTGGAATCCTTCGCATCCTTTCCTTCCTTGGAATCCTTTGCATCCTTTCCTTCCTTGGAATCCTTACCATCTTTGGCAGGTGGGGGAGGCATCATGTGTGGTGGAGGGTTCTGTTTCAGCTTAATGAAAATTTGCCGCATCCTTGAAAGATCAGTTGGTTTCCCAGGTTTTGGACCCTGGATGATCAGCACTGAAGGCTTCTTATCAGGATCTTTCTTCCCTCTCTTCTTCTCAATATTAGGGACCTCACGAGGAATCAGCTCCGCTATTGCTTTCCAATAATGTTTGTCAGCTTCTTTGTGGAACTTCTCTTGGTTGACCAGGTAAAGCTGCACAGAAAGTCAAATTCATTTGTCTTAGAGATGAAGCATGGAAAGGTAGCAATGGAGAGAGACAGAGAGAATCAGGATCAGGGAAAACATGGAAAATGATGAGTTTTAATACTACCTTCTCCCTTTCTCTGTTGTGAGCCTTGTTAGTTTCACAATTGAGCTTTCGTTTCTCATAAAAAGCCCGTTTAAATTCCTCAGCTTCCTCAATAATCTGGTTCCGCATCTCTCTTTCTCTTTGCTCCTTTTCTTCAAGATGGATGACATTTAGACTGCAGAATGGACGCCTTCATCAGGGCAGATGAAAACAATGGAAAAGAAAAGAAAAACACTACATGGTTTTTAAATGCTTCTTTCTTTCCAAGATTTATTTAAGATCATGCGAGCAAACCAATCATTATTTCATCCAAATAAGCATTACCAATTACTAATTCAGACCTCAAGCTTAAAAGAAATGGCAATGAACAGAGTCACACAGATACAGAAATCAAATTAAGGCAGATGGAATTAAGCCTAAAGAAGACCATGCATGCAGAACATCATAAACACCTTTTTAACTCAAATTGATTCAAACAATGCCATTCAAAATTGCCACATTTAATAATATGATTTTCAACCAACAAAAATCCACACCACACAAATCGAAAAGAGATCTGAGCTCACCGACGCCACTCGCGCCGGGCAAAGCCTTCCTCTCGCATCTCCTCCGGCGGAGGCAGCACCGGCTCACACGAGGCGAAAATGTCCCCATCGTCGCCGCCGCCACCACCACCACCACCATCACCGCCCATAGCGCCTACGTTATTGTCCTCGGGCACCGCCGAATCAAACGGCGACACGTAGTCGGGGTTAGGGGTGGAAATGCCGAAGCCGTAGATTTCGGGCGACTGCTGGTCAATGCTATGGCTGCTGTTGTAGCCTCCGCCGCCGGGGAGAACGACGTGGTCTTGGAAATCAGTGTGGAGGGGAGGGGGCGCCGGGTCGACGGCGGAAGAGGAGAAGTCGTCGTCGTCGTGGGTGGGAGGGTTGAACGACGCGTCGTAGCGCTGGGAGGAGAGGCGTGGGTCGTAGCCTATGTAGCCATCGTCGTCGAAGGGGCGGGTGGTGGGGTCGTGGTGGGTTTCGTCGTCGTTGGGGAAGTTGTCGAAGGACGACATGTTTCGGAGGATAAGTGGTGTTGTCGTAGAGGATTATGGAGTTAAGCTAAGCATTAAGCATTAAGCATTAAGCAGAGTTATTATGGCGTTAATTATTGGTTTTGTTAGTGTGAGATCGGCGGGTTCGGATCCAGAGAGAGTGCGTGGCGGTGGATGATTCTTTCAGTTGCTACGTGTTGGGAAACAATAATTGTTGATGCAATGGAGAGCAAGCAACACACACAGGTGGCGTTTTTGTTTTTCTTTTCCCAAGGTCACATGCTTCATATTTTCGCAACCATAGCTTATTATTAATTGACTTGCATTTTAATGCCCCTCTCACACATGTGCAATAGGTGATTTTTTTTAATCACACGCGCTACGCGACTGTTAAAGATTGTTTATGCAGAAAAAATTTCCTTGTAAATGTACAAGATGATTTGACTATTATTTAATCAGATTTTATTTTGGAAATGTTGTTAGATAAAGAGAGAGATATATATATATATATATATATATATAACAAAACACAGAGAATAGTGAAACATTCTAAATACCAGAAAATGTCATTGGTTAATGTAAATATTAAGAATTGAAATTATTAATTAAATGAGGATAATATGGTAAATTCACACTTTTTTATATTAAAAAAATTAAAATTAAAAGAAAAATCAGATAATGGATTATATTTTTATGGAACACAACTCCCAATTATCTTTTTTAATTCTAAATAAATTTTAAATTAAAAAAAAAAACCTCTCATAGGAGCGGAAGCGTGTGAAGAGAGAGTGG